CCTGACATGGACTCTTCACACTAACACCATCACCAAAAAAGCTCGAAAGCGGCTTTTCTTCCTCCGCAGGCTGAGGAGGTTCAACATGGACTCCAGGATACTCTGCAACTTCTACAGGTGCACCATAGAGAGGATCCTGACCTTCTACAGGTGCACCATAGAGAGCATCCTGACCTTCTACAGGTGCACCACAGAGAGCATCCTGACCTTCTACAGGTGCACCATAGAGAGGATCCTGACCTTCTACAGGTGCTCCATAGAGAGGATCCTGACCTTCTACAGGTGCTCCATAGAGAGCATCCTGACCTTCTACAGGTGCTCCATAGAGAGGATCCTGACCTTCTACAGGTGCTCCATAGAGAGCATCCTGACCTTCTACAGGTGCTCCATAGAGAGCATCCTGACCTTCTACAGGTGCTCCATAGAGAGGATCCTGACCTTCTACAGGTGCTCCATAGAGAGGATCCTGACCTTCTACAGGTGCACCATAGAGAGCATCCTGACCTTCTACAGGTGCGCCATAGAGAGGATCCTGACCTTCTACAGGTGCGCCATAGAGAGGATCCTGACCTTCTACAGGTGCACTATAGAGAGCATCCTGACCTTCTACAGGTGCGCCATAGAGAGGATCCTGACCTTCTACAGGTGCACCATAGAGAGCATCCTGACCTCTTACTGGTGCGCCATAGAGAGGATCCGGACCTTCTACAGGTGCTCCATAGAGAGCATCCTGACCTTCTACAGGTGCTCCATAGAGAGCATCCTGACCTTCTACAGGTGCTCCATAGAGAGCATCCTGACCTTCTACAGGTGCACCATAAAGAGGATCCTGACCTTCTACAGGTGCTCCATAGAGAGGATCCTGACCTTCTACAGGTGCTCCATAGAGAGGATCCTGACCTTCTACAGGTGCACCATAGAGAGCATCCTGACCTTCTACAGGTGCACCACAGAGAGGATCCTGACCTTCTACTGGTGCGCCATAGAGAGGATCCTGACCTTCTACAGGTGCACTATAGAGAGCATCCTGACCTTCTACAGGTGCGCCATAGAGAGGATCCTGACCTTCTACTGGTGCGCCATAGAGAGGATCCTGACCTTCTACAGGTGCGCCATAGAGAGGATCCTGACCTTCTACAGGTGCACTATAGAGAGCATCCTGACCTTCTACAGGTGCGCCATAGAGAGGATCCTGACCTTCTACTGGTGCGCCATAGAGAGGATCCTGACCTTCTACAGGTGCACCATAGAGAGCATCCTGACCTTCTACAGGTGCGCCATAGAGAGCATCCTATTATTTTTGGGGAAAAAAATCGAATTGCGATTTTTCTGACAAATATTGCGATTCGAATTGCGATATTTGTTTTTAAGCGACCCAACGGAAGTTGATTGTAAAATGCGGCCATAACTCCGGCTAGGAAGGTCGTATCAACGTACTCCCGTCTCTAGCACCCCAGCAGCCCGAGCTACGAGTGAAAACACTAAAGTTACATGAAACTTCCGTTGGGTTGCTTTAAAGTCAAGCTTCAGTTTAAGATTCACCCTGTAATAGAAACATGTGATGGAGCATCACTAACCTGACTCAGATGGTTGGTTTCACCAAAGCATCTAAAGCTCCATTGGAAGCCATTTGGAAAGGGCAGGCACTTTCAGAAGCACTTGGCAGGTGATTGGATCAATCTGTCTATCACCTTCTATCATGGGCTACTTCTGATTGATTAACAATGGCTGGTACATGTGGAGCACAGCACTTCTGATTGGTGTGGATGACTGACACACAAGAAAAAGAAAAACAATTGTAAAAAAAAAATAATGTTAAAAAAATCGCAGGCTTTGGGATTTGATAATCGCATCATTTCAAATCGCGATTTCAATTTGAAATTGATTAATCGTTCAGCCCTACTACAGGTGCACCATAGAGAGCATCCTGACCTACAGGTGCTCCATAGAGAGGATCCTGACCTTCTACAGGTGCACCATAGAGAGGATCCTGACCTTCTACAGGTGCACCATAGAGAGGATCCTGACCTTCTACAGGTGCTCCATAGAGAGGATCCTGACCTTCTACAGGTGCACCATAGAGAGGATCCTGACCTTCTACAGATGCACCACAGAGAGGATCCTGACCTTCTACAGGTGCGCCACAGAGAGGATCCTGACTCTACAGAGGGTGGTGAAACTGCACAGCACATCACCAGGACGGAGCCGCCCTCCATGGAGGACCTCTACTCCCAGCGGCTCAGGAAGAAAGCCCTTAGGATTATTAAAGACCCCCCCAGTCTCAAACTGTTATGTCTGCTACCGTCTGTGGAGTCTATTTTTATATAACATTACAAGACTGATTCTTATTATTACATTATATGCTTATTGTGCTCATGAGATTGCTATGACTATAGAATAAATAGACACAATCACTAATCCCAGGTTCTGATGGGTTAGATACCAACGAAGGGAATAGTCAGAAGAAAGTTTTCAGCTTGCAATAGAAAGTAGCAGAAGCCAGATGCAGGCAGTGTAGAAACAATGAGTTATTGAGGCTATGGCCTTCGCCGCCTGGGTTAGCTCTGCGCCCACGCATAGCTGGGAATCAGTATAACCAAGATTCCACTTTTCTGTAGAAGCTTCATCAAAACAATTACGTATGATGGTGCCAGAGTAGGGAGGGGCTTCCACAGGCCGGCCGAATGCTGATTGGAGGTTCGTGTTGCCAAGAGACTCTATCTGAGTCTGTGCACCAACCAAAGAGAACCAAGTCCAAACCATTGTATCCAGTGGCGACTGGTCATTAGGGGCAGGTGGGGCACAGCCCCACCTAGTGTCAGCAGAAATATATAAAATATATTTTAAGATCATGTTTAATCATCTGATTCGTCTCATTGCTGTTTTAGTCTGTGTTCTTCTAATTAGTGTCTACAGTGTGTGCCTATTGAGCTGTTTAGAGCCATGTGGGACAAAACCCGATCCTGCCCCTCCCTCTTACAGTCTAAGTCAATGGTGACTGTAAAAACTACACTGCGCATGCTCAGAGTATTGTCCTATTTAATGTGTGTGGCAAACAAATAATGACCATAGGGGCATAGTGCTGCCATCCCCACCATACGTCATCTCACATAATTCAGAGCTGATTGGCTGTAAGTACGTGTGCCGCGAAAAGTGTGGTATGTGAAGAGGAGGAGAGAGAGCTGCAGTGAGGCGTCCTAAAACCCGGAAATAAACTGCGCATGGCTTCCCTCCACAAAAAAGCAATGATATTTCTCCATAGGATTTTAGAAAATAGCTCCAAATAAGATCTGTGGGAAACAAACCTGTTAGATAAATGCACGTTTTGTTCAGCCGGATAATATCCACATGTCTACCCTACTTTTATAATTTTCGAATCATAAATCTATTGATTAGATCAGATTTATGATAGACTTTTGAAACTACAAGAACATAAGGAGGACTTTTACAAAAAAGTAATAGAGATTTTTGTCCAGAAGGATAGGCAAATGGACTTCATCTTCATGTCAAGGTAAGACTGCAATTTGATTGAAAATGGGATCTTACTAAGAGAGAACAATTCAATATTTAAATGATACAATTACATTTTTTGGGTATCCTTTTGTTGAACTGTCTGTTTAAAATTAATTGAAGCATCAGACAAAAAAAGCTTTTGAAAATAATATGATATTTTGATTTAGGTCAAAATATAATATTTGTAAACCTGAAGAGTCAGTGCCAGTGCCTCGCCAGCCATGAACCTCACTGCAGAAGCTTATATATAGACATCTAAGTTTTTTGTGCCCCACCACTTTTGTACATATAAAAACGCCACTGATTGTATCTCTTCAGCTAGTCTGTCAATCATAAATGTACGGGCAACGCCCTGTGTAATAAAATGTATTGTCGCACGAGGTTCGAGGCTCTTGACGGATTTGGTGGTTACAGATTACAGCTTTGCTGCCTGTGATTCCCAAAGACGTGATGAGTCCTTGGCCAAGTAATATATGTATTTTGCTCTCTTTACAATAAATAGTTAAACTTAGAAGTTGTCTGTCTTTTCTGGAATTCTGAACCCAACACGTCTGGCAAGCGGTACCGCAGCATCAGGACTAAAACCACCAGACTCAGGGACAGTTTCATCCCACAGGCCATAAGGCTGTTAAACACCTGTTGAAACATCCATAACATTCATCTGGCTGCTACTTTATTTATCTAATATATCATATTCCAATAACTTGCATTTAGACTCTTGTTGCACTATTTTTTTTATATATATTTTTTTGTATTTACTATTTACCTGCACTATATTTGTCTGTTTATCTGTTTTATTGTGTTGCACTGTTGGAGGAGCCTGTGACCTAAGATTTTCATCGTCATAACTACACTGTAGCTATGACAAATAAAAACATTGAACCTTGAACTGTGCAGTGAAGGGATCAGGCCCTTCTCAATCCAAGACATGGTCAAATACTAAGACTTTGAATTTGGGGTATCTTGAAGTAACAGACGGAAATCTTCCATGTGTATTCTTTCCAGTAGTTTGAGTTGGTTATGTTAGAAATGTTTTGGGACATTTGTTCCTATTCTGCTAATGGTATATTGCAGGATATTTAAGTCTCCCATGTACTTTTTAAATTAATAATAGTATGTTCATCTTGATGTTTAACTTGTAATATTGTAATCATCTTAGTTAGAAATGCTGTTTCCACCCCATCCTCTGCTGCTGAATGATGTTATATATTGTTACTTAAAGTGCTTGTCTTTGATATTATAATGATTACACCAGAAAGTCAGTCTTTGTGAGAGGGAGGCGTGTTGGTTTGGCACTAGCTGGCGCTAGTCGGCGCTAGCTGGCGCGCAGGACCGTCTGTCAAAATCCAATCTATCACCCAATCATGATACTCGCTGTCCATTGTGAGATTGGACCTAAACCAATCACGACGCGAGTTCACAATGGACGGAGCCAATCACGTCACGGCATCACAATGGACAGAGCCACTCACGGCACTGCTTCTACCCGAACTCGCCCCCCTCACGCTTTTGGTTGACAGTGGACAAATCGCAAGGCGCATCAGAGGTATTCAGAGTAAGTAACAACACTATTGTTTCTATTTTCCCGTTTTCAGTCATAAACTACATTTTTACAACCGTCGTTTTGGCGTCAACTTTTACATTACGGTCGGCAACTTCAGTCTGCATAAAGTTAGCAAGCCAGCATTGCTAATGCTATCGTGTCTAGGTTAAATACACGTTATTATATTAATCAATGTCAACAGCCATGTGTTATACATCCAATTGACAACAGTAATTTAAATAAGTTGTTAAACGACTCTTGTATGAATGGGCATGTTGTAATTAGTAACTACACTTCTGTGAGCAGTGGTACAGAAGTCATACAGCATACTGTATACACAGAGGTGGGAAGTAGCTAAGAACATTTACTCAAGTACTGTATTTTGAGATACTTGTACTTCACTTGAGTGTTTCCATATTTTTCTACTGTGTACTCTTCTACTTCACTACAATTCAGAGGTAAATGGTGTACTTTTACTCCACTACATGTGTTTAACAGCTTACCTTTAGTTACTTTACAGATTTGGTTAAGATGCCTATTGGTTACTGGTGGCGTTTTATGAGTTTATGTTTTTCAGTTTATTTGTTCATATAGACACCTAAAGTAAATCATATATTATATGATATAAATATCGTTATGTGAGATAAGGGATCGTTGCTCACTATGATATGATAAAGTGTGTTATATGCTCCAGGAAGGATACAGTATATTGTTGAATATATATTCAAGATAGCTATACTGTATATAACATTACATTAATTGTAATTCAATATACACACATCAATCATATATGGATAAAAGGACAACTTCACCGTTTATGAACATGATGTGTGTTTATACATGATTATATGTGTAGATAACCTGTGTAAATAATGGTTAACATGGTGTCAGTGTTGTTCGCTTTGCAGTGTAGTTCTCTCTAACACATGCATTGTTATTTTACTTAAAGTTTAGATGATCACTAAACCTATAAGCCATAACGAAATTGGAGATGCAGAATGGACGGGCTTTGGCCTTCAGGAGGGATAAACCCGCTCCAAGGAAACGGAAGTGACGCGACCTCTGTCAGAAGGTAAAGTATAGAAACATATGTACCTATTACTTATTATTCACATATGATAAGTACATTATTGAACATTTACAATTTACTGGTGCAAATATTATCAATCAAAGGATTTACACTGAGTGACTCACTCCAGACTAAAACATAATGATGATAGTTTCAGATTAAGAAATGCCTCATGCATACATTTTATATCATACCCCCAGTAGTTACCCCCAGAGCCCAGCCTCCTCCCAAGAAGTCTCTGGGTGCTGTCCATGTACGGCAGGGATATCCTCTCCCACATGGACCATATCAAGGCCAGCATCACCTCCACATTTGGTTCCAACTTAAAGATGGACTCAACCAAAAAGGTCAAACATAACGTGACTGTGTATTTGATTTCCGTGTTTGTTAAACTCTCTTATAAACAATAACATTACAAACTAGTTTTTATTATAAATGTGTTCGGTTATAAATCTGGAAACATTAACTGCTATAGATCATTTCTAATAAATGCCTCAACTTCGCTGTTGTCACATTCCAGATCACAAAGCATCAAAGCAAGGTGGAGATGCAGCTGTTCCCTGCTCCACCCTCTGGCCCTCAGGTGGAGATGCAGCTCTTCCCTGCTCCACCGTTGGGCTCCATGATATTTACTCCAGTGAGCTCACAGGTTCCTGTCCTGGTCGCTGCTCCACAGGCTCTGAATGCCAGCCTCTCTCTGCTTTTCCTGCTCCTAGTCCTGCTCCATACAGCCAAACACTGACCCGCAAATACTGCCCAACACGTGTGGAGGTGTGGGAGGTTTGGGACAGCGGACACTGGACACAGCCAGTACAGGGAGTAGTGAACTACATTGTGCCAAAGGATTAATGGTTGGAGGTAGGGCTGCACGGTATTGAAAAAAACTGACATCGCGTTTTTTTCCCCCCCTGCGGTATATATCGCGGTTTTTTTAACCTGTTAAACCCCAAAGTCCCGGCGGGTACTTTACTTTTTTTTTTTCACGACAGTGTCTCAGGGGATCGTAATATTTAAGAACCTATTAATGTGTTATACCAGATTAACGGAAATAATCTCAGCTAACTGACGATACAAACCATTTTATACCAAAACAAAACACAAGTCTCATAAGAAGCATCTAAATTACCCCTGAGCGAAAAATGCTAACGCACTTTGGCACAGAACTCAAGATAAAAGTACCCTTATTACTTATCGTAGCTGCATTTACAAGATATCCGATTAAAGCTGAGGTTCCACAGATTATTTAGGTATATAGTATCATCACTGAGTGATCTGAACTCGGACAGGAGAAGCAAACACAGACATCACAACACGTACCTTTACGTAGCTTCGAGGGGAGATGTCTCACCGTAGCTGTCAATCTGATCAAAAGACGTGTTCAATGGCATTACAACGAGAAAGAAAAAACGCGGCTGAATCGGTTAATCCATAGGTTTTTAACGTCTCTGTATAAAAAAATGATTTAATTTATAATCCATAATTCCATTTTTATGTAAATATCGCAGAGCAAAAGTTAGCTGCTAATGGTAGCCACTGGTAGCTGCAATGGTAGCTGCTGCTTCCGGTCTGGCTATCCGGAAGTCTCACACACACACATTACCAAATAAGGAATGTGTGATTTCCCCTCGATTCCATTGGCTCTGACGGTCAGAAAGAGATGTCACATGTCACAATCCAGTAAAGTGGGCCAGAGATATGGAAAATCCACCCAAATGGCCCCAGAAGAGGGTTTTTTTGCTAAATCTGTCTAAAAAGGTCAAATATCACTTGTTTTGCATCAATCTTGATACAGAGTACTTATTATATGTTGTACTTTGGATTCCTAAAGCTTTTACCGCTTTTATCGCTCATTTTTTACCAGTGTTTTGATGGTCTGCAAACTAGCGGGGCGGGGCCTGCTGTGATCTGATCAAGAATGATTGTGATTGGTGGTTTGCTGTGCATGCAGGGGAAGTTCTACACACACCAACACATGAACAAATAAGGAGTGAGAGTGACGCGTAGCCAAAAACCGGTGGCTACCATTAGCAGCTAACTTTTGTGCTCCGATTTTTACATAAAAATGGAATTATGGATTATAAACAATTGCTTCAAAGCCACAGATACATTATCAACCTATGGATCAACCGATTCAGCCGCGTTTTTTCTTTCTCGGTTTAATACCATTGAACACGTCTTTTGATCAGATTGACAGCTACGGTGAGACGATCTCCCGTAAAATCTCCGTAAAAGGTACGTGTTGTGATGTCTGTTTGCTTCCCCTGTTGCGAGATCGGATCACTTAGATACTATACTTAAATAATCTGTGGAGTCTCAGCTTTAATCGGATATATTGTATGTGCAGTTTCGATAAGTAATAAGGGTATCTTTATTTTGAATTCTGTGCTAAAGTGCGTTAGCATTTTTTTTTTTAAATGAATAAAACCGCACGTCCCTGCGGTGTGAATACCGCGCATGTGCATACCGCGGTTATCGCCATGACACGGTATACCGTTCAGCCCTAGTTGGAGGACATAACAAAATGTATATCCCCCCACCAGAGCCATGGACACTGGACACTTATTTATGTATATAGTTCGGTGTATAGTTTGATATTTATTTATATATATGATATGTATATATTTTATTAAGTTTATGATAATGTTTATTTGATGTTAAAACCCATTTAGAGTGTTATTTTGTTATACTGCACCTTACTTACTTGTATGGGTTGTTTTACATTTTATTAAGTTGAACTACAGTACTTTAAAATAAAGGTTTGGTTCTATCAAGTACGTGACTGTCCAATAATTGAGTGGAGTGCTATGTTTAGAATTTCTATAGGTTTTCTCTTTGTTTGTTAAAAGAAATACATTATAACACCAATACCTTCTTAGTTCATATTAAATGTAATGGTTACATTTAAGTATTTGTCCACAGCACACAAACCATGAGCAGGTCAATATTGAGTACTTCAAAACTATCCCTGATAAAGAAAATAATAATAATTGTATGTAATACACTTGAAAGAAGTAGATACATTTTACTTAATATTTATTAGAAATATATAATATTTTATAGAAATGTGTTATATAGTTAATAGTTAACTGCATAACACAAGTGTTATTAGTCAACAAATGCATACGTTGTTGGTCTTTATTAAAGTACTTCTGTATATAAATACTTTTACATGCAGAAGGGAAACAGGGAGCAAGAGAATCGTTTTTTCTCCTCTTTCTCCCTCTTCTCCTTTCTTCCCCCCCCTTGCAAGACTATTGTTCCCCAGCTTTGGCGCAGTGGATAGAGCCTTGGTGTTGGGATCAGGGGGTCACAGGTTCAAACCCCACTGCTGTCAGCATGTCGTTGTGTCCCTGGGCAAGACAATTCACCCCAAATTGCTCCTGTGGGGATTGCCCACAGTATTGAGTATGTAAGTCGCTTTGGATAAAAGCGTCTAACAAGTAACATGTAATGTAATTTATTTGTTCACATTTTTCCCAGCCACAAGATGATTTCATTCATTGGAGGCCTCAAAGCTGGGTGAAGGTATTGATGCATGGATCAATGCAATCCTTTACAACAGCATTCCACTATGGTTGGGGATGTCTGTAAAAAAGGAGAAATAATCGTTAACAAAACAAGTGTCTCAATATAGGGAAACAAACTGACAAAAACATATCAATTAGATCAGAATCAAAATAATGTACATTGTTACATCAGAAAAGAGCCAAAGACAGCCATAATGTTACTTAAAGTATGCATAAAATAAGTATTAAAGTTGCACATTTTACAAAATACACATCCTGTAACAGTTTGGAGGATTTAGCAGCCAACCACTGTTCGAAATGGGGGGGAGCTCCCCTGAAGGCCGACTTTGAGATAAATAGGGGGAGCCCAAAACAATCGTGCATATTTGTGTCACACAGATTAGAAATGTTGAGTTTCTGTAAAAGTTCTTGAAATAAATAATAGTCAGTGTTCATTACAGTTTCTGAATATTTGTTTTATATTTATGAATATTTCTGAGCGTTGCCATCTGTACGTGGCGGCGCTGCATTCTTTACGCTACTTACGTTGCTATGGTTACGGCAGGCGATGCTGGCGCGGTATTTGATATTTTCATACTGATATTTTGTTTAACTCTGGCTTTGTAATAAAAAATACGGCGAAACGAAAACAGCCAAACCTCGCAGCTTTTGGATTCACAAGCAAAGAAGTGACGGAGTCTAAAAATGACAACGTGAACGGAATAACTTTTAGTTGGCCGGCTGTAAGCGGCGTTAGGGACGAGTTTGACAGCTCCACACAGAGCCAAGGGAGAGGCCTGCCGATGCGGAGCCTGAAGAGGCTTCAACAACGACCACAGCCGCCGGCGCCACCTGCACTAGCGAACCTGACGATGCCCATGACCTGCCTTTTAACTGGCCACAGAAAAGATGGAGTGAGTGGAATGAAAGGTATCCATGGCTTTTAAAAAAATATATATATATATATTTGGATGTGAGATTTGCAAAGAGACAAAAAGTATATTGATCTCCCTGCTGCTCGCAAAAAAATCCACCTGAGTGCACCTTTCACAAGAATGGATTCAGGGAAAAGTCAGCAGTGATCAACAGAATAACCTGTGGAAAAAGATTTATAAGCACCATAAGAGCCAGGCACACACGAAAAAGCGATCGAGATTTCGGAGATGAGAAAAAATATGTCCTACCAAACAAGGTAGGCCTATTGGCAATCAATGTTGATCTAATGCAGGAAACATATGGGTGAGTTGCCCTAATGTGGGACACGCCCTAATGTGGGACACCTAAGCCCAAATGGGTGTAGGTCTTTCGCAAACAAATGAGAGTCAATGAGACTATTGGTAAACACAAGCTGTGATGTCATGCGATCAAAATCACATGACTTGTCAAATGTCCAATCACAGATGAGGGTGGGAAAACATTCAAACAGGAAGTTGACAATTGAGCGGCCCCGACCAAGCAAGGAGGCAGAGGCAGAACGTCCAAAATACAACCCGGTGTGGGCATTTATTAAGTCAGGAACACATGACACACAGCCTCAATCCTGCTGTTTCTCCCTGACCACAGCCTGCAGCCACAAGGATCTCACACACACTATCTCCCAAACAGCCAAACCCCAGAGCCTAATGCCCAACCCAATCAACCCAACAGGACACAGGTGAGGGGGGAGGAGACACCACAGAGCACCAGGTGCACACAATCAATGGCCACAAAAATGGGGAAAGGGGAACACATTTCAAATAAAATACAATAAACACTACATCAATAATAATATAAACTGTATAAACATGTGCACATATGCAAGGCCCGAAGCCATCAGTGACAAAGTTACCTTCGTCACAGTGAAGATCACCCAAAAGGTCAGTGACGTAGTGTTTTGACAAATTTAATGTTAAGGTTTTAAATTTCGTTTAAATAAAACAATCTTGGAAGTTTTTATCAGGATGTGTTGATGATATGTTTGTTCATCAGAACATATTATAATATGGTGTAAATATACTCTATATTTTTTATTTCAATCAAATGTTCCATCGTCCCACTTTAGGAAACATGTTTCGCAAAGTGGGACAGTATGATTTGCCTAATGTGGGACAGGTCTAAAAGGGGCATGGATTGTGCAAGAGCAATGGTTATTTACAGGGCTTTAGTCTTCTAATGCATTATTTTAGATATTTAAGGTGATGGGCAAATTATATTAAATAATTGGGGGTCTGTTAAAATGGTATGACAAAGTCAGGGAGTATGTTAGGGATACATGTCTGAGTTTAGAAGATGGGAATGAATTTAAGCCCAAATATTCATAGTAATTTAATACATCTTTCCAACATACGTTTTATTCTATGCATATTAATGATGAATTGAATGCATTTTAGATCACAATGGTAAAGGAGAGAAATAAGACAGGGAGAGAATCGCAGACACAGAAAAAGGCAAAGCAGGAAAAGAATAATGGAGGAAAGGAAGGTCAGGGAAGGAA